CAAACTTCAACACCAACCATTCCCTATCTTCTCTCTTCAGTGTTGGCCAATCCAAACCTTCCAACCATACCCGTTTATTTAGTGGCCTTCTAAATGTATGCCTAAAATGACCTGCAAATGCTTCTGCAATTTTTCTTTGACTTGTGACTGTTTCCCCTTCAATCTCCAATCTGGTAATAAAATTTCTTCTCCTTCTACAACTTGCCAAAGCATGAAAGAACTTAGTGTTCCTATCCCCCTCTTGTAGCCATTTGCATCTTGACTTATGCCTCCAGCTTATTTCCTCTTGATGAATGTAATCCTCTAACTGTTTACGCAATCTCCATCATTGATGATATTTGGAGAAACTGGAAGGACAAGGAATCTGCAGTGTGGTAGCCTCTGCCTGAAGGTTGGGCAAAGCTGAACTTCAATGGTAGTAGCCAAGGAAACCCAGGCCCATAGGGGATAGGAGGGGTGCTGAGAGATAAGGAGAGCAACATTTTAGCCTTGTTTTCAGGCCTTGTGGGAATAGGAGACTCTAATAGAGCTGAGATTTTAGCGGCTGTACAAGGTATTCAGATTGCAGAACAATTAGGAGTTCAGCATTTGGTAGTTGAAGGAGACTCCAAAAATGTTGCAGATGGCTGATAGAGCCAGCTTCAGCTATGTGGTGATACAGAGACTTATTGAGGAAAGTCAACTGGCTCACAAGAAACATGACAGTTACCTCTCTTTGGGTGGGAAGATCAGCAAATACCTTAGCAGATGGGCTAGCTAAGCAAGGGGCTTCAAGGGATCATTTATTTTGGGCTGCTATGTAATTTATTTCTGTTTATTCCTGTTTTTAATTTGATGTAATGCTTTGTTAGAAGAGGTAACAGCTCGTGCCTCTTTATGGGTTTCCTGTATTGCCTTAATTTTCTGGATTAATAAATTATCTTCATTCACCAAAAAAAGGCATTTTCCTCAAACCCTCAACCAGTTTGTCGTTGTCAAAGAGTTGACTAATCAACCAACTAGCCAATAGAGGGTCAGACCAACCATATCACTAACTAGTCAGTTGATACTCATGTTGTGGTTGCCTAGGACGACTAAGCATCAACTAGGTCAACTAGTCCATTAATGACTAGTCATTCTAGCTAACAGGTTAATCACAAAGTCATTTCAAAGCTTTTATTTGCTTGTTTGCATCTCTGATTATTTGAAATAATATAGAATATGATTGTATTTTATTATATTCATTTTATTGCTTTAAATATTTGTGATAGAACATGATCGTCTAAAGGTATAAAGGACACCAATAGAGGACTACTTTCAAGTTTTCCTCCAATTAGTGGTGTAACAGTATGGAGTAGCCACTAACAAAGGGCATATCACATATTCAAGGTTGAACTCTTCTTTGGAAAACAAAGGCTATAATTCCTTATCCTAACCTATCCAGCCTAACTTAAATTATTTATAAGATGGCATCAATATCTTAAATTTAGTACATATTACTTTTTCATCACTAATCAGCATCTCAAGAAGAGAGGCCAAAACAACTAGCCAGTGGCTCATTGCCTCACCACATTGATAACACTATCCTCAACTCAAAGCAAGTCTTAAGGAATGGGTTACAAATGCCTTTCAAAACAATGGTGTGGTCTGAATCTACTCTTAAACTTAAAGCCTTTAGTGGGAAGCTGCTCCAAAGATTATAATCACAGGTGACGTATGCCCATAGAGATGAAAGACTTGGTATGTTTCTTCTCCCCAAGTATTTGATAGCAGTTGGAAATATTCTGTTAAGTTGAATATGGTCTCTGATGCAATCAAACCACAATAGTAATAGCTTTGAAAAGGGCACAAAATTCAAACATAAGCACTGAAACCATGATAATCAATGTTCTCCGGTATGACCAAACCACTGGGGAACCAATATAAAAGTTCAAAAATAAGAATAAGTTCATATGAACAACATGAAAAATGAATACCAGATCTATCACAGCAAAACACCGTACCTATAACGTTCTTTTGACGTTGTTGTCATTTGCATGGTTTCTCCTGTAACAAGGTGCTCCACAACTTTGGCTAGTAATGACACAACCTGCAGATACATCATATGATGCAAATTTCTTTCCCCTTTTATAATGCATATTAGAGTAGTGACTAGTGATGATAACCATCTCAAGCAGAAAATAAACCAGGTTTAGATCAAAGGTATAATGCCATGAGCTACTACCTAGCCCAATTTAATAGATACAACTTATGGGTTTCTTCATGTGTCTTGGTTATATCATCTCTTAATGGTTATGGAAATTGCATTCATTCCCCTATGACATCTTGGTTTTTGCATCCATACCCCAGACTTTTTCCTGTTCTTTTTTCCCATTTGGCCTTTCCCCTCATTCAGCTACAAAAAACATTGTTAAAATACATTAAAATGAAAGAAAAAAAAAACAGAAAAAAAAAGAATAGAAGATCAAGCATCTACTCCCCAAAAAAAGAAGAAAGTGGGGGAGGGAGCCGCAAGACCTCAAGGCAGAAAAAATGAACAGTTGTACCATAGAATCAGAAAAGCACAGAGCCACCTACCCATAAAGAACAGATCCCAATAAAAATAGCTTCTCTACCGGTGCACCTGGGTTCAGGCAACGTGTAAGCCACAAAATGAGACTCATAGCCTCCTCCATGAGCCTAAGCACCCCTGAGGCATGCCTTTCAAAGTACTGCATCAGGATAATGACAAGTTCTTTTTTTTTTCTTTTCCACCTTTACTTTTTTGCTCCAATGGGATTTCACACCTGCATTGTATCTGGTGGAGAAAGGTAAACTTCTGAATGGTATAACGAGAATGGCATAGAGGTATTGTATGAAGGTCCAGTAAGAGATGATGGAAAAGTATTTCCTCTAAAGTACCGGCAAATTGAAGTGTTTAGGAGTTTTTTTATGGAAGGGATGCGGGTAGAAGGGATTAGAAAAGGGAGAGTATGGTTTAATGAGGAGAGAAAAGGGATTAACAGATGAGACAGAGGAGACAGTCTTGGTAGTCGGAAGGGAACCACATTTGCTCATGCAGTGAGAAGAAAATCCTGGATGATGGGAGGCAAAGTAGCATTGAAGGTGGAGAGAAGGTGCTTTTACCTGGAGGTGAAAAAGAAAATCTTGGAGTCCTTTTTGGTGGGTACAGTATGTTAGTGCATGTTGATTGCCGAAATCCAGCAATGGGCTACTTAAAGTTGGGAATTGGAAGTTGGGGTCATGGTTTTAAATGTCGCGAAATTTTGCTAATGTTGCCCGACATATGTCGATGTTGAGACTCACCGACATGAAAATGGATGGTAATATAAAAATTACATTATTTCGGTTGACATTTCCTATATTTCGGAAATGTCAACCAAATCAGTCCAAATAACCAAAAAAAAGACAGTTTTTCCTATTATGTCAACAAGAGTCGATAGGATGTCAATTAATGTACATTAATAATATAATATATTAGTATATTATATTAATATAATACAGTATATTAATATAAATTATTCCATTAATAATTTCTATTTAATATTTCAAATAAAATATTTAA